TGTAAATTAGAGAGTGAGGGGAACAGAGAAAGGAGTCGTTTGAATTTGGAAAACAGGATGCAAATACCATAAAAAGGAGCACACTTTTTTATGATTATAATGCAATTAATTTATTTGCGTCCGTTAGAAGAATCAGGTACTTCGGCTATCTTGTTTATTCTCGTTTGTCAAAGAATATGTCGCCGGCTAGCAGCCGCGGTGCAAGGTCCTGCGCAAGACGAGGACCAACGACAATAGGTATTTTATCATCGCGTTCCACCTCACCACGCGCTTGTGCGCCCCGTGCCTAACAAGTCGACCGAGAAGCCGTCATCACCGACAACGACAGGGTCCTAACCTCTCGTTCGGCTTCGCGGTACTTCGCCGACAGGCACATATAGTGCATCCCTAACGGTACTTTACGCTCCCGAAGCTAACGGCTTTGTCGAACGCGCCAACGGAAAAATCCTTCCATGTCTGCGCGAAAGAACGTCAACGGCGACATCGACCATTGGAGCGATTATCTCCAGGCAACCAGCTTTCAAGTGAACCAGACTCCAGACTCCAGAACCAGACTCCAGACTCCGGACTCCAGACATCACCGTTCGAACTCCTGTTCAACTTTGTCCCACGTCGACCAATAGAATTTTCCCCGCTTCCCGACGAGGTCGGCGACGTCCGCGCGAACTGCGACGCTGCAAACGCGAACCTCGCTTACCTTCACGGCATGAAGCGTTCCTACGATGCAAAACATTGGCCAGCTCCATACAGCGTCAGGGACAGGGTACACGAACGGCCTTCCTACCTCGAAACTTGGCCTGCTTTTCCACGGACACTTAAGTCGTCACCAACGTGAACAATCAAACCTACACCATTTCCGGGTTTACCCCGCAAGGCACACCAGATTGCCGCAAAGCTGCCGCACAATAACTCTTTTTTTTTTTTTTTTTTTTTTTTTTACGAACAACTCGCAGCGATTGACGTCGATTTCAACAACTCGCGGAAAGACGCGCGTCGTGGGGGGAATTTTTTGCTTATTTTTGTATTGAAAAAAGTCGCGCGCCGAGGAGGACGACGCAGGGAGACGACGCCTCTGAACCCAATTTCTCCCTCGACGCGCGCGCTTGAGCCAATCAGCGAGCGTCCGGACGTGACGTATCGCCCTTTTCCGGTTAGGACATGTTTTCGCTGTTTTTTTATTTTCGAATCACAATGAAGGCGAAAAGGCAGAGAGCTCGGGGGATTCGTGCACTCGCCAAACGTGGCTGGAAGTATTCCAGCGTGGAAAGAAGCAAGCCGATTGGAACATCTGACTGTGAGCAGTGTTTTATGTGCGTGTACGACGCTGTGAAGCTACTCTTCATCGTTTGCGCGAAGCTGCCGCGAAAGCTGCCACCGAAGTTCGCGGTGTGTTCCGACCTCCGACTGTGCGGGAGCGATCACTCCCAATGTGTTGTGTAATTTTGTGTACACCCATCACTGCGGAATACAACAGCCCTCCATCGAAAACACTCTCGCGCAGGCTGCGTGCAGTGTTAAAGGTACGAACGCGAAGGCTCTGGGACGCGCCGGCGAAGCACCGTGCTTTGTTTGCACAAAAACGCGGCAAAAGAGCACCTTTTGAAGCTGCCCGTTCGAGTCCGTGCCTTTCGCCAATGCTGCATATAACCGGAGTGTAAACGTATATATAATCATCACCGTTGTCCATTCAGTGAAGACGGTTGTCTCCCACCGCATATGCAATCGCGAAGGCAAGGCAACAACAATCGTGCGAAGCAGACGAATAAAAAATGCCGTGTTCTCTCGACAAACGTGAGATTCCCCGAGACGCCGCCGCCGTCGGGTGGACCCGTGAAAGTTAGTACTGTCAGATCGACGTCTGAAGTTTTGGGGTTTCTTATACGGGACAAAGGGTGTAAGAATACACCCTTTTTTTAGAGTGTAGGTCACTGAAAGCCGGACATTCAGACAGATCCAAATGATTCATGGTCACACCAACCTGCCACCCAGACGACCCCGCTTGATGACTGACCAGCCGCATGCGATAACAGGCAACTCTATCAGAACCCTTACTAATATGATACATGCGTGACGAGATGCCCCTACAGCGTGCAATTCGCTTTAACGAGTGTCGATGAAACGATCGATTCGTGTCGACAAAATGTGTGTCCGTGAAACGTGTGCCCATGAAAAGTTGTCTGCGATACGTCATTCCACGAAACGAGTTTCGACGAAATGAGATGGTCCCGTACACCACTCCTGCCTGAAAAGTTAGATCTGGGTTCTTATGTTGTTTTTTTTTTTTTCTGGCGCCCCTGAGGACCACCAGAAAGGGTGTTGACCTTTCTAATTTGTGCTGAGCTTTGAAAACTAAATTTACACTGAACCTATTTGCCACTGATATAAAGTTATGAGAGATACCATGGTAGTATAGGCACACGCACAACATTCTTCTCAACCGGTTTTAGAGCGCAGCTCCTAGGGGCCCGTTTCCAGCCTGAGCGGCGTCGCCGTCGGCGTCGGCGTCAGCGTCGCCGTCGGTGTCGGCGTAACCGGGGGGAGGGGGGGGGGGGTCACGTGACCCCCGAGGTCACGTGACCCCTCCCCCGAGGTCACGTGACCCCCCGAGGTGACGTAACCCCCCCCCCCCAAGGTCACGTGACCCCCCGAGGTGACGTAACCCCCCCCCCCAAGGTCACGTGACCCCCAGGTCACGTGACCCCCCCCTCCCCCGAGATCACGTGACCCCCCGGGGTCACGTGACTACCCGCAGGTGACGTGACCCCCCTCAGTACCCTTCCCTATTCCTCAAGAGCTGCGCTCCAATTCGGCGTTACAGGGATTTGTAAACGGCTTTCATTTTTTTTCCACAGGAGCCGGATTAAACCTTCAGCGCCTTGAGCACAACTCTAACAATTACATCGTGGTGATGGCCCGCTTCCAAACGACGCATCTTTTGCAACTCAACTGCCTCACCAATCCAAAACATACGGGATTCTTTACAGGCGTTATCCATCGCAGACGCAATTACACCACTCTTAACTATTATCAAGTGACAGCTGTCAGCCGCCAACAGAGGCTTGGCTGATTCCTTACCGTACCTCCAGCACAGGCCCTTTTCCGTGTGCAACAGTAGGTCTATAAATACTTAATTGGACTGTTGCGATGGCAGGGTTGTGCAATCCAATCGACAAGGACCGCACATCCGTGTCAACGTAAACAAAAGTCTCGTTAAAAAAAAAAAAAAAAAAAAAAATCTCGGACAACACCGGAGCAATTCACGACCCTGTTTTTGAATAAAAAGAGAACCATCAAAGTCTACGGCAGTGGACTCTAAATGAAACTCCAGAATGCTGATAAAACTATCTGCATCAATACCAGTGGCAGACTGCAACTTCACTAGCTCATCACACCACCTCTTGACCCTTTTAACAGCTCCGACTTATCCATAGAGTAACATAAGTACTTAATTGATGTCTACAGTTGTCACATCGCACCTCCTCCCATGATGCGGATTCAATATTTCAATCAATTGCTCAGAGTTTTTGAGTGACGATGGACTGTTGCTCCACTCCTGTCAGGCATTTCGAGATAAAAACCGGCAACACCTTCTGCCAAGCTCAATTTTCGTTCACAACGATTTTAACAATTACACCAGGATGGGATTGTTACAGTTGTGCTCAAGGCATCAGGAACGTACGTTTAATCCGGCTCCTGTGGAAAAAGCCGGTTGTAAAGATTGTTGTGTGTGTGCCTTACTACCTTGGAATCTCTCATAACCTTATATCAGTGGCAGAGGGGTCCGGTGTAAATTTAGTTTTCAAAGCTCAGCACGAATTAGAAAGGTTAACCTCCTTTTCGGGTGGTCCTTAGGGGTGCCAGAAAAAAACACGTCTACAACACGTGCCGGAACTATTAATGGCGTCCGCCTCAATTATCTCTCTAACAGTCTTATCATTGTGCCTAGCGAGAACAGTGGAAGAAGCAAATAATGGTTTGCACCTGCAATCATGCGTGGTTTCAATTGACTTTGCAGAAAAAGAGATAGTGTACTTCCGGTCCGCGGCGGGCCCACGGATTGGTTGAGATGTGGTACGGTGACGCAGTGTGTATCTACGCTGAGGCTCTAGGATTAAATCAGTTGAAAGTAAGCGCTCTGTGGTGTTCTTCCTCTGTCTATGTCTTAGAGCGCAATCATGTTTTCTGACGCACAATACCAACTCGCCCAACAATCAGCAATGGTAGGAGAGTTCTGAGGGAGACCATGCGTATTTTGACCTCTGGTAATTGTGTGAGCACACCGTCCTTGGCATTGGACAGTGATATGAAGAGTTTTTTGTGTCTCTATAAGGTCCTGTTTTGTGGGTCTTCTAAGAATTGTAAGGGCTGTGCTGGAGCTGTAGTTGCCTGTTATCGCATGTGGCTGGTCAGCCCCCAAGCGAGGTCATCAGGGTGGCTGGTTGGTGTGAATCATTTAGATATGTCTGAATCATGAATCATATGGGTTCCGTCTGAGTGTCCGGCTCTCGGTAACCTAGTGAAGAGGAGGTGCTTCTTTTTTGGTGGTGAGGGTTTTGAGGATATGTAACAACGTTCGTCGTTCAAATAAACTACAAACGGCGTTTGAGACTTATTGTTTTGTCCGGTCTTTTTTATCGTTCAGTGTCTCCGTTTTTTATGGAACCTCTACATTTATTGATATGCTTACAGGAGTAAAAATGAAAGGGAAAAAAGGGCACACAGACGCCAGTGTATCTATTCATTTTTTTATGCATAATATAGTAGGTAAAACTCCTACAGAAGCAGAAAAAAAAAACACCAATAACCCCCCCCCCCCCTTAAAAAAAAAAAAAAAAAAAAAAAAAAAAAAAAAGGTGGCGGCGCCGGCGGCGCGCCGGATTTCTTGTGCGGCGGCGGCGGCGGCGCAGGGCGGCGAGAGCAAAACAGGCGGCGGCGGCGGCGGCGCGGCGCGGCGGCGCACAGGCAGCACAGGTCTAGTCTGGCGCCTGGTAAATAGAGAAACGACTTCACTTCTGCTGTTTAAATGGACGCACGAAAAAGAAGCCAGTAACCAAGCTCCACGCTTTGGCCATTCCGGGAACTTCAGGAGCTGCATTCGGCTGACGACAAAATGACAGCATTTGTCGGTAAGTTGCTCGGTTCCCTACGCGGTTTCTCAATTTGTATCCTCGCAGATTCAGGTTCAACCCAGCATCTTTGGAAACGTGACTAATCGTTGCAACTTTTCTTTTAAGATGCCGAATGTTCGCAGCTTATGGATTCCCTGACGACGTTCAGTCTACCGGGAATCTCGGCGAAAGACTACGCCGACTTCAAATCAAGGATTGAAACCTTTTTTGACGACTACGGCACTGTATCTTTCACGCAGTTCACCGTATGAAAAGGGACGCCTGCGTTGTTTCGCCATTCCTTTCACTCTACGGGATGTTTCCGAGCGCTAGCAATCGGCAATCAGTCCTTTACGACGGAGACAAAGTGGTATATCTCAGTCCTTTTTTCCTTTAGACAGCGCAAGTACTTAATCACCGATCAGGGCAGTTTTAGGGGAATCGGTATTTGCACACTTAGATCCTTCCGCAACTAATCCTTAGTCAAATACATGTTTTTGGCAGCCAGAACCATTCAGCGAACCGGACTAATATGTGGAACACTATCAAACTCGATAATTCTCGTCAGTATTAAAAAAAAATAATAATAATAATAATAATTTTGTTTCTTTAATTTGAGGATTGCGTCCCCCGCTTCACATGAAAGTCTAAACCTTGACTGCTCACCTCGGCGGTTTGGATGCAAAAGCGCCGGCCTACGGTTCCCCAGGTGACAGGTTCGAATCCCGACCGACATGCCCGCTATCTGATGGAGGCTCATTACGGAGAAGGCACCGTGTAAACGAGATTTCGGTTTACACGTGTAAAAGATCCCCAGTTGGTCGAAATCAATCCTCAGCCTTCCGCTGGGGCGTGCCAGATGCCCTTCGTCGGTCTGGCCCGTGAAACCCCCCAATTCGACTTTAAAACCTTGACTACCCTTGCTGCAGCTGTCGCGCTGGCCATGCAAGCCACCCGAACTCTCGCCTCCACAATGCGCCCGGTTCGGCTGGACATGCGCCAACGAGAGCTTGCTCGTTTGCGCCGCCTGCAAAGAATACCTCGACTGCGAGGTGTCCAGTTCCCTGGGACGAAAACTGCGTAAGTCTCGGTTTGTGCAACATTCTTTAAGACAACGGTTTTCAGACTTCTCTGCCCCGAGCAACCTTTATCCGGCTCCAGTAGCAGCGGAGGAACCCTTTCCGGTCTTGGTGGTGACGCCACAGTGCCGGCAACACGTCTCCGACTGGTGTGTATGCTGAGTGCAAGTTCATCTGCTTCTTGCACAGGGGTTGGGATGATGTCAAAACACCGAGCTGTTATTGGCTGATTGAAAAAAATAGTGGGTAGATTTCAAGGCATCTAGCATTGAGATCTACCCACTACCCTTCCAATCAAAGCCAATCGGAGCTCGGCATCGTTCTAATGTCACTGCAACCCCTGCACAACGAGCAGACGACTTGCTCTCCGCATAACGTCCTGTTCTGCCCGTGCGTCGAAAGTGGCCCGAAGTGGCAGCAAACGACGTTGTAGAAGCGCGGAGTGTCACACCATCGAACGTCGCGATCCCAGCAGTTGGCCATAGGAATTGGGGAAAAAAGCATGAGAGAAGGCGAGCGTCGTTGCCGCTGTTGCCGTGCGGCTTAGGTCTCCTTAGTATGCAGAGCGAAAGTGGTCCGCATCTTTTGCAGGGGTTGTGGTGATGTCAGAGCGCCGAGCTGTGATTGAAGGATAGTGGGTAGACCTCAAGGCAGCTTGCTTTGAGGTCTACACACTTCTTTGAATCGGAGCCAATCGGAGCTTGGCGTTCTGATGTCACCACAACCCCTGAAAAAGAAGCAGACGAATTTGCACTCCGCATAGTGCTGAAACTGAAAATATGCTTTACATAGGGACAAGGATGGACGAGGTAATCTTGCGGGTTGAGGAGCCCATGGGGGTATTCTGGGGTACACCTGCGTTCCTAGGAACACTGATTTGAGAAACCATGCTTTAGGAAAAATGTCTTTGCAATCAGCGTGTGCATGCATCAAAAGCGCCACCTTTTTCATTCCAAGACATTTCCGACATCGCAGTTTCGTCGCAGTCTGTGATAGAAAACTCTTTACAGACAAGGAGTGCCTGTCAAGACTTGTGTCTTTACTCGAAGGAGCTCACAAACCCTGCTGTCCCTGGAAAACGGCACCTTGTCCGAGTATGTCTTGTCTTTTCGTCCATATGTAAATGTTATTGAATGCTGCACTCTGTGGATTGAATGGGAAACATGACTAAGTTTGTTCCTGTGATAGAAGGTACTTAGCCACCTTCAAATACCGAGCAAGTGCCCTTGCCAAAAGACTGGAGATAATCACGAAAAATAGAGATAGGCACTCGTTAGGTCTGAGAGCACAAAAAGCAGAAGGGGCACATGGTAGGGTAAGCCCTTGTTTGATCCAGCCAAACCATATACGGGCAGTATAGGGAACTTTCAATTAAAGGAAACACCCTGTTCCCGTGAAACATTTCGTACCGGCACGCTCGCATCAAGCTTCACGCTTCGCTCCAGTGCACGCACATAAAGCTTCACCACCTTGCACCGGCTTTTTTTGGAAAAATGGCAAATGCGGAGTGACACCTTAGTTAGCTTGGTGGGCTCTGAAGTTTGCTGGGGTGGGCATTTGATATGCCCTTGGCTTGAATTTCGCGTGTTTCAAAAATAGGAGGCGGGCACTTATTGTGACACGGGCACATGCTCAATATTTTAGGGTAATGTTCTTGAAGACTTTTATTTATTTTGTATTCGTTCTTATTTTAACATACTGCCAGCCGTGAGGCCAAAACAGGTTGGTAGGCATCTTAAAAGCACAAGCACACTTGAGTATTAAAAATATCATCGAAAAAAAACCACACACATCGCTGTCTACAGCATCCTTGGATGGGCAGTTTCATTTGTCTATACATTTAACAAAAGGAGGGTTTTTAAAAAAGTCAGTGTTGAAGCGATGAGGCGCAACAAATTTGCTTTGTTTCGTTCTAGTTGCGTTATTCAAGTTTGCATATGAGACATATTTCTGAACATCAATAAAGCCATGACCACATAGAAATTTAAGAAATAATTTCATTCGAGTCAAATTGTCCTGGTGCTTATGGGTAAAGGTTTGCATCAAATTTCATTAAGGAAACTGTCTGTGGTCGAAAGCAATTGAAAACAAATCGGACAGCTTCACTTTGTAGGCGTTCTATTTTGTGAATGTTTTGTTGCACGAACGGTTCCCAAACTCTGTCGGAAATGACGGAGGTTAAACACACTGTAGTACAAGTCGTAAGGGGCACTGATATCTATCCCAACTCCACGGCATCACTGCAGAATCTTACACAGTGATGCAGCCAGTTTTGCGGAAAGATGCACTGTCGCAACTCCGAGAGAGGCTGGAGACCCTGCGCCCCATCTTGTCGACTCTTCCTGTGCTGAACACCGACAAGATTTTGAGCCTGGTGAGCCTGTCGCTTCGTACAACGGCTGCTTGGAGTGTCTCTGCATCTGTTCATGTGCAAGTTTCATTTCTACAATGACCTCCCTGTAGCTGAGCCCCGAAGACATTCTGAGGATCGGGAAATTGGTCGACAAAGACCGAGGTACAGAGACTCAGCGTGCAGATCTACTTCTGGCCATTACCGGGTGGCAGGCGGGGTAAGCTAAAGGTTTTTCTTCATTAACGGTTTGTGTCGGCTCATATGCTGTGATGCACAAACCAGCTTGCTTCAAACATAGGAGTGCCATTAAGACCGGTATTACTTGCTCGCATTCTTATAGGATGCGTGCGGACTGTTAGCAGGTCGTACCAGAAACCATGCTCATTTTACGCGCTGGTGACCGACACTTTTCTTCAAGCTTTGTGTGGATCTGACTTGGTGGTAGGAATGTTGTTGCCTATGTAATAAGTCAGCTTTTCTTGTTCATCCAGCAACCTAAGCCTCTGTTCTCTTCTTTCCCTTCAAACTGGGGTAGTGGCACTCATGCGATTGTAACTCTGTCCTGAGGCAACGTTAAAATAACTCGATAAGAGGAAATGAAGCATTTTCCTTCGAATGACTCCAAAATTCTAGCCTCATATTGAAGACGAGGAACTAGGAAACAAAGGGGGGTTTTCACCCTCCTTGATTCGCAATGACCCACCTACTCTCAATGCCCCCCTCCCCCTAAAATTTAGACACCCCCCCCTAATTTGAATCCCTGGGGTAACCCCTGCCCCCCAAAAAAGCCACCACTAGTTTAATTTTCAGAGGCGTGTCTGTAATCATCAAACAAATTATTCTCTGACCTGTGTTTTAGTATACCGTAAAATACCGGGGATGCGCCCTCCCCACTTTCACTGAAATCTCGGTTAATCTACGCATAGGTGCTTGTCCAGTCAAACTGGTAAAAAAACCAAGATGGTGGCCAATAAAGAGTTTTAAAGGGACACTGACACCACCCAAAATTTATTTTTTTATTTTTTACCTGGCAATTCATTATGGTGCCAGAAGACTTGCCCGATCAATATTTTGCTATAGTGTGACATATATTTTTAATAAAGTAAAAAAATGCAACTGCTCGAAACTGGACTGGGGAGGAAGAAAAAACATAGAGGAGGAGAGAGCTGGCGGAAGTCACGCGGTTGTGCAACTTTTTTTTTTCTTCCAATCAACGTATTTGCAGCTTTTTAGAAGCCACAATAAAGGGTATTATGTTTTTTCGATTTTTAATATTGTCTGTGTGCGTTCGATGACCTACGGCTTTGGTTATATTTGGTGGTTGTGTCTAAACCATAGAGAACAGCACGTGACCACGGAGAAGAGAGTGAGCATGACTCAAGCCAGCTAGCTCTCGATCGGCGGTTTTCAGGCAGAAAGAAAATTAATTTCGAGCCGTGCATTGTTTTCTGTTATGTGCAATAAAAACCGTGGCAAGGTTTTCATATGTTATGTGCAAATAAAAACCGTGGCAAGGTTTTCATATGTTATGTGCAAATAAAAATTTTAACAAGCATAAGTACCTTGTCAGTGTCCCTTTAAAGGCAGGGTGAACGAAATCGGAGAAAGCACATTTATTTCTACATAATCTCCCCGTCATTGTCGCTGGCGGTCTCGTGGCCGCCGCAGAGGGGTGAATATTTTCAGCTGATGCTGGCACTTTGTAGATGGTGGGCGCTTAACATATAATTTGCAGAATTTTCAAGTATGGGGGATGTTAATAGCAGGCACTTGTACAACATGGGCGCTTCTGCGGTATTTTAAGGTAGCAATGTTTTTTCTCCTTGATTTCTTTCATTTCAGGGCCGGATCGGGCAAGATGAAGCTCGTTACCTGTGAATACTGTTCCCGAAAGGTAGCCACTTTCTTCTACAAGTCGGCGCCGATTTCTGAATCACGGGACGAGGTCACTACCTCCCAAGACAAAGGAGCGTGCTCCCCAGGTCATGGCACCAAGAGGAAACGGGAAGAGGTATGCATGCGGAGATTTACTGGGAGGCCAAAGTACTGTGGTGTATGAATCTTAAATAAGAGGTATGCCCGTACAACACTTGTGAAACAAGCCCAAGGGAGTATAAAGGACACTGACAGCCTTTCAGTCCTTTCGTTTTGGGGCATGTCGGCTCATGGCAATAGCGATTTAGACCTTGCCATCAAGCAGTGTTGGCGGTCATACCAAGCCATCTCCAAATACTGCTTCTTTTTTTTTAGTGTGTTTAAAATGTAAGCTCGTCATGCAATCTAGCTTTCTTTACATCTGATGAAGCATACCTGCAAGACTTAAATGCATTTTAGCCTCGTTGTAGTAGTTCTTGTTTTTTGATGGATACTTGACCAGCTGAATCAGTTAAAAAGTTTTTTGAACTTCTGGATTAGTTCAATTTTCAGTCTAGATTTCAACATAAAACTTTGGTTTGGGCTGGTTTGCTTATTAGTTTGCAAATACTGGAACTGAACGGCACAAATGGGACAGGGACAAACTAAGGCATGCATAGAACAAGGAACGTTGCTAGCGGCAGAGATTTCAAGCTCCTCATTCACAATCACGCCTTTGCTTTATGTTCGCATAAGGCAGCTTTCTACGAAGTGCCCACGTCTGCCCCTCTACCTTTTTTAGGACGAATTGGACCCCGTTCACGAGCACCGACCGTGGTGCATTTGGGTCCTGAACGACGACTCGGGCAAGCCAGGATGGCTGGTCTTCAGCGAGTGTTTACTCCGCAACGTCGACTCATCCCACGATGACTCAAGACTATCCACGTCATCTGTAAGACTTTCAGATGAAATTTTCACACCCATGTTTGCTAGCTGTTATTTTGTAAGCATCTGAAGAACCAAACCCTGCGAGGCAGCAGTCACAAAGAGAACAAGTTATACGAGGGACCATTGTGCAAGTGATAGGTGGGCTTTCCCGTAACCGAGGAAAACTGGGCACAACTAGCAAGAAAATTATGGCGGCACAGGTCTTCCCAAAACTGATCTTAGGCTGCATTTTTTGCAATGATCATTAACGGTCATTACTAAGGTTGAATTTTACCCCGCATTCCCCAGTCAGATGCAGTCCATCATGATGGTCTCAATACTTTTGAACCAAGGACTTGCGTTTGCCTTCTGAAAGCTTGAAAGCTTCTCTTGATTGGATGTGTTGCATTCGTCTAGTCTTCGCTCGGTTTTCCTTGAAACTTTGCTTGTGGTCAGCGGACCTCTTCTGCGCAATCTACTGAAAGATTTTGGGTCATTGGATGATGCAAACCTCAAAGGTTCCGGCATATCTGCCACTCATTATGACTTGACTGCAGCATTTATAATATGACCAAGTCAGGATGAGCAAATAGAAATCTCACATTGAGGAAGGTAACAAAAATGGGTGGGATAAAACTTCCAACCAGAAACAGGTTGTTAGTTAAAAGTCTGTGCCTATACAACCCTTTTTGTGCCTCTCCTCAGTGCATGATTGACTACATTATAACAGAAATGTAAAACGGAGCGCAACCAAACGTTTTTTGGACTCCATCGAATTTCTGCACACTAGAAGCAGTGTGCACTCTCAACCTTCTCAACATTGGCAGCATCAGGTGATCCCAAGACCTTCGATATGTAGCAGCTAGGAGTTCTTTGTATTTTGCCGCCGGTGTTTTTCTCTAAGTCAGTGGAAAATAAAGCTAGAAAAACACTGGGTATAACTACTACTAGGGCTCTGTATTTTCAGAGTTTATTTTTGGTGAAATTCGGAAAGTGTTTTTCGGAGTTTATTTCTTAGCAAGAATTCTGTGTTTATCGGAGTTTATTTTTCGTAAATTCCCAATTCTTTGAAATTTGGAAATTAATTTCGCAGTGTTTCCTATTAAAAAAATAAGAAATAATAACCGGATGCAAGCGTATGCCAGATAAAAAATAAAACGCGTTGGTGTCATTGGCAATACAAATTTGTCCCACGACAAAGGTCACACACAAGTGTGGCTTCGATAAGCGTCAATACCTTAAAATCGATAGACTGCCGGAAGTAGCCGCAAGGAAGCTCGCAGCCATCCCATCAATCTACCCGCGGCCGCGCGAGGTGGAGTGGTTAAAGATGTAATAGAAAAGTTTCAACTGCCCCTCTTCCCTATTAGGGGCGAAGCTCCTTAAGGGCTAGCCATGTCCGTATGTCCGTCCGATGTCCGGCGTCGGGTGCTCATGCTCACGAGCACGTGCTCCCGTGCTCGTGTAGGGCAAAAAAAAAAATAAACCGCATCTCCACGTGGTGAATGATGTTGATTGGGGCGAAGCTCTGGTGGTGCTTGTCTGCGTAGACGGTGAGCCATAGCATGCCGGGCCTTTCGTTCGTTTTCATCCATGTCAGAAAGATAATTTGTGGTATGGAATGTGGTTATATACGCATTTGAGCATTTGACCGCAGTGTGACATGGATGAAAACGAACGAAAGGCTCTGCATGCTGTGGCTCAGCGTCTACGCAGACAAGCACCACCAGAGCTTCGCCCCAATCAACATCATTCACCACGTGGAGATGCATTTTTTTTTTATACAATCTCTATGGTCCATAGCTTTCACTGTTACCCCAGAAACATACCCTCTCCTTTCTCAAAATCCCAAATTCAATGGCCCAAACTGGAAACCAAAAGAGTTGCTTTTGTCGTGACATGAATGGTGCGATGAACCAACCTTGACGAGACAAGCCGTAACACCCCCTTTTGACAACGGTCCAAGGCTTGAAAGATAATTATGGTGTCATTTTTCCAGGATCATTGATCCTGCGCTACTCAAAATAAAAAAAATAAAAAAAAAAATATATATATATATATATACTTTTTCTTTTTTTGCTGTGGGGGGGGGAAGGGCATGAGCACATAACAATTCGGAGTTTTTTGGATAAATCCGAATTGACAAAAACTTTACCGGCGGGTGTTTTTTTCGAGTTTTTCGGATTTATCCGTAAACACGGAGCCCTAGGTATAAGTATAGGAAGTATTCACTGGCGGCCAAAGCTGTGTGCGCGACTGCTGAGCGCGTGCAGGTGGCAAGCTTCCACGGCTCTTTCGGAACGTGCGTTCCCCACCATCAAGATTGCCGGTGTTAGCAACCTATTAATATGGGCTCGTTCTGAGCATGCGCTCTAGACAGCACCCACAAATATGGCGTCTAGTGAATACTCCTTATAACCCTTGCAAGGGATGTTTTTATGCTTTGTGTACATTATAGCATTGCCAGTGAACTGGGCCCATTGGGACCACCCTTGGAACCACCAATGTCCGTGTCTATGCCCCGCCGTTCTGAAGCAGCTGCAATGCATGCACCTTTCCCTATAGATTATTAAATTAACTCAATGCGCCTGGATACATTTTTATGGAGTTGAGGCATTTATTTACCTTTTCTTTGCAGGTTGATGCCTTCAAGCATGATGTCGAGAAAATAATCAGCTCCTGGAGGGAAGTTGTCAAGCACCCCACAATCCAGAAGACGACGACATCATGAAAATTTCAGGCAACAGACTGGTTGAGGTCTCGATTAAAGCATGCTGACAGAGGAATGTGTATACCCGACAGTCCCATTCTGTGAGAATTTGTCAGTCATATTAGTAGAGTGGATGACTTTAGCCCGACACTAGGGCAGAAGCTAGGAGGCAAACAATTTTGACAGTGGTACCAATGTCAACTTTTTTTTTTCCGTCTGCCCCCTTTTTGGGGTAACGTCACCATGGTAAGCTTCCACCAGCTCACCTGCACCTTGACTAGTTTAGTAGTACGGATTTTAGGGGCGAAGCTCCTTAATGTCTAGCTTTGTCCGTCTGGCGTCCGTGCTCACATCGATTGCCATCCCATCTGTCTTCTTAAAAAAAAAGAAAAAATGTTTGCACAGTCGACAGGATTCGAACCTGTGCGGGGAGACCCCAATGGATTTCTAGTCCATCGCCTTAACCACTCGGCCACGACTGCGGGACGAGTAGGGGGCTCCGAGATGTGGTAGTAACTCAAGAGCTGGGGATGTCATGGATGAAACGTTGCATATAGCCGCTCAACGTCTATACAGGAGAGGGCACTGTGGTCAAATGCGTATATAATTGCATTAAACTTTGCACCATCAGCACTACCTATGAACAAAATCAGTATCATCAGCATTACCAGAGCTTTGCCCCAATCAACATCATTCACCATGTGGAGATGCGGTCATTTTTTTTGTTGTGCTGTTTCCATTAACTCAACGGTGCTTCTCTAGGAACACAGAATCTAAGCGTGGCACAGCCACAGAGGTCTCAAGACCCTACCTCCATGGGCGTACCAACCGGGAAGGCAAGGGGGCACTTGCCCCCCCCCCCCCCCCCAGTTCCCAGAGTGGGGAGGCAAGGCATGCGTTTTGTCGCCCCTCCTGAAACAGCCGCCACTGGGCAGGGCAAACGCTGGTCGGCGGCGCCTAAGCGATACCAAGGACACCGTCCCTCAACTCTGATGGGGGGAATCTGGTTTGCCCCCCCTCTTAAAAACAAGTTGGTACGCCACTGCCTACCTCACTCTATGCGGAGCGCAAGTTCGTCTGCTTCTTGCACAGGGGTTGCAATGATGTCGGAACGCCAAGCTCTTACTGGCCGATTGAAAAAAATAGTGGGTAGACCTGAAGGCATCCAGCATTGAGGTCTACCCACCATACTTTCAATCAAGGCCAAACTGAGCTTTGCATCGTTTTGACATCGCCGCAACTCCTGCACAAGGAACGCCCTGTGCCCTTTAGGCTGTCATCACTGCACGAGCATCTATTATACTCTTTGGATGAGCCAATCGCTCTAACTCTCAGCTTGCTAACACCATAGATTAAGAACCACTACACACAAAATTATGCGGTTTACTTGTGCATGATGAAGATGAGAGAACCCGTCTTGCCTATTACGCGTAAATCACGGGGAAAAAAAAAAAAAGAAACGCACCAAGACTAACAAACGCGTTACATTTTGCTTCTGAAACGGTGGTCTCGCACTGCAGTTTATTTGGCCGTTCCAACTGCATCAGTCAACAGCACAGTGCAAAGGCCCCGAGAAGCCGTCTCGTCGGCACCTTAGCTCGGTCCTTCCAAGCTCTTCATCACGTTGTAGGCCTGCTTTAGCTCGTGCAAGAGAACGCTGCAAGTCTCGGCAGTCATGCTGAAGTGCATGGGCTTGGGGTCGCGATCAGAGTCCCTGACGAGTAGCTTCATTTGCACCGACGGTTGGGCAACCTCCCCGGCGACGCTGGACTCGAGCACGTAGTCGACCCTCCACTGCGGATTACCTTCCAGCGACGACAGTCGCAGGCTTTGCTTTTTCAGCACAGTCAAAATGTCCGCCGACTTGTCGGCGTAAACCTTGGACAGAGACACGGCGTGCTCGCGGGGCAGTCCCAACTGCTGAAGTTCGTTCACGAGCGTTTCTTCGTCGACGGCGAACTTGGTGGCGTTCTTGAGGATGAACTCGAGCGCCACAAGGACGCCCTTGAGGTCGTCCGGCGTGAATTTCGAGTCCGCCGTGAGTTTGGACGCCTTCTCGAAGTCGACGGTGGAGGTGAGAAGAGCGTTCACCGCTTGGACGCACAGGAGCTTGGTTTTGACGGAGCTTATCTTGGAGAGGGAGGCGATTTCGGCGAGCAGCCAGTCGGGGCAGTCCCGATCTCCGCAGAATTTAAACCGCATGGCTGTTCTTTACTGAGAAACGAAGAAAAATCTAAGCACGGTACCAACGTCGTCCACGCCACAGAAAAGCCAAAGCACGCCCACAACGCGACGAACCTTCAACAAATTAATCCGTTGCTCGAAAACAGTGTCGGAGGGTAGGGTGCGTTTAAACGGGCGGTAGCTTGCGCCATCTACCAAGCATTAGAGCTGTCTTTTATTTTTATATTTTTGGTTAATTAATATTTGTGAGCATTTAAATAAACTTAAAAATTTTGGCATTTATTTTGTTTTTAAACAAATTCACACAATTTTATTATGACATTTTTGAACTCCTATCACGTTGGCTAGTTGTAAAGAAAATAGCCAACAGAGCCAATCCAATTCAAGGCGCTTCCTCATGCTTCTCACTCGGACCAGGTTTGTGCTCAAAGTCGAGTTCTGTCTGGTTTTCCTCGGTCACTTCACGTAAATTATAAGGACATCCCCCTGCGAAAAAAAGAGAACACATCTGCTTTCTTTATTCTAGCAATGCCGTCGCAACGGTAACGTACGATCTCCTTGATCCAGGTAGCGAAACCATGCTGCGAACTGCCGTGGAGACGAAGCTGCTGCCCAAAGGGAAAGGTGGCTACAAACCCCCGATGACACGGTCCATCGAGATCGAAGAACACGATGAGGACAGCGATTCGGGCAAGGACTCGGCCGAAGAGCAGCTCGAGCAGCTCGTGTTCGGTTCCGCTTCAAAACCTGCAAAGACATCTCGGAAGGTGAGCCCAGCTCTAAGGCACCACCAATCATATCCCTCGCGTTCTGATATTTGTTTCGGCGCGAGATCGTAGGTGAGACTTCTGTTTTGCGAGCATTTTTATGTCCGCCCCGCATTTATAGATTTACACTATGGGGCCTGGAACGCGTCTCAGATGGTGTGTTGAGCGTCATACCCCGCTCTTATGTCAGAAGTGGTCCCGAATCGGGCAAATGCCGTCACGGAAGCAGGAGTGTCATATTTGCCGTGCTGTTGTCAAATTTCGCGATCCTGGCGGTTGGTGCTGGAAGTCCCGGTAAAAAATTAAAAGCCAACGCGAGTGTCGCTGTCGTCGCAATATGCCAACTACGGACTGCCGAAGCTTCCGTGGTCTGTTGAGTTGAAGGGAGACCTGCAGCAGACCAGGCGTCTGCCATATCCACCACTGCATGACACTCTCGTGACGTCATAAGGCGGAAATCGAAGGACCACTTTTTGGACACGGGGAACACGCCAGTTGGAGACGCATTCCAGGCACTGTAATCTACACCTGGGTTACTGGCAAGGTGGGAACGGCAGAGGGAGGAGCTTCAGTTGCCTCGCCTCCACCACGAGATTTCTACCTTTGACACCGCTTCGGCATCTCGTGCACCTTGAGCACAACCAGAGCACGGAGGACGGGCGTTCAGAAGACACGCTCTGCCGTTCTCGCTGCGTCAGTGACTATGCCAGCTACCTTTGTGCTTCGCTCCACGCAGCAAGTGTTGTCTCTTCCCCAGCCAGCAGCAGTGAAATTGAGCTTCCCGGGGCTTTGCCTGTCCCTCCTTTCATCTGTCTCTCTTACCGTTTTACGGTGGTAGCTGCTCGTGCCCCTTACCAACAAAAAGTGCTCACGTATGAATGCAAAACCCCACTCTACAGCAGAGGCACTGCTCTCCCTCTCCACGTCGTTCTGCGCACATACGTGCCAACTGCGGCCACGCTTTCTCGCTTCCCCCCCTCTAGGCTGCCGCTGTTCCGAAAAACCCGCGTGATCACGGGGAGAGCGTTCTCCGCCTCCCTATTGTTCCGCCTACATTCACATACCCTCTGGCAGCGCTCTCCCTTGTTCCCCCCCCCCCCCCCCCCATTCCATTTTACCATTCCAGCACCCGCCATTGCAAAATACCCACGTGGTCACACTGTAAGAACATGGTCCCTCACCTTCCCACAGGCGCGGAGAGCACAGGATCCGTTCTCGTGTGCTCTCCGCGCCTCTGCAGTACGGCTCGCATGCATACTTTCGCTTCTTCCACGGCAGGCGCATTCACGGACGCCCCCGTTCTGAAAGAGCATTTCGGCCAAAATATAAGCGCGTCTCTGTTCTTCTCCAACAAAGTGCAACGTCTCACACAATCATTTTACCAAAGCAGACATCTCCTACATCAATTTCACCGAAAGCAGAGAACTCATTGCTGTCTGAAGGCGAATCTCCTTCAACATGTCTTTCCACAACGCAGCAGCTATTGCCGTCCAGATTCGTGTATAGAGAGAGTTTGGTCAATGGGAGGAGTAGGCGGGGCCAGGGCGTGCACCAGACGCAGGTAGAGGGCTTGGCATGCTCTTTCGGCCAACCAGAAGCCGAAAAGAATCCCCTAGCAGTGGTAGCGAGAAACAGTTTTAATAAGAGAATAAGGGTTAAATGTAGTAACTTTTCATGGTTGAAAATAGAGTGTATGTGATGTTTCGATTATGATCATGCAAAAAGATATATCATTTCCGGCTTCTGGTTGGCCATATTTTTTTGGCCACACATTCTTTCACCCAATGGCGCCTCCTCATTTGCCTCCTATACTTCCCAATGAACAGCCAAACTCTCTGTATGTACGGCTCTGCCGCTGTCAAGCGCAGTGCACTTTGTGTAGTCGTTTGTATTTTTCATTAATTCACCCAATTTTTTCTTGATTTTAGGTGGGCTGTCTCTCGAGATATTTCAGTAGGCAGTTATAAAACTGTGCTTCTGTGCGACAAGGTATAAGTTAGGAACCTAGCCACGCTCGTCTGCTAATGTAGGGTGGGATATTGTTTTCAAAAGCAACTATACTGAAAAACCACTCTTGGGGCTGCCATAATGCCGTGATACCTGACTACCGTATCATTCAAATTCTAGGACAAGGCAAGACCAAAGAGAAAGAAAAAACGCCAAGAAAGCGACAGCTCTGCCAGCAACAGCGATGAGGAGACAGCTGTCGATGATGCACCATCAAAACCTTCTGGAAAGAAGAAACCAGCCTGGATTGACCAAGACGATGAAAAGATTCTGTGAGCTCGTCTCTCTTTTGTTTTCTTTATTCAGTCTTTTTTGGGTCATTCCTATGCGGAGAGCAAGTCATCTGCTTTTTGCACAGGGGTTGCGATGATGTCAGAACTCCGAGCTCTTATTGGCTGATTGAAAAAGATAGTGTTTAGACCTCAAGGCATCTAGCATTGAGGTCTACCCACTATACTTCTGATCAAAGCCAATCAAAACTCGGCATCGTTCTGATGCCACCGCAACCCCCACGCAAGAAGCAGACGACTTGCTCTCCGCATATACCACCGTTATGTGCCAATGGGATTTTGGTCTAATATTTAAAAAAAAATTGGGTTGTGTGTGTGTTTATACAGCCTAGAACTTGGTCTGCCTCAGAGGGGCGACGAGTCTCCCAGCTGTAGATGAGAAATTCAGCCAGTGCGGTACAGCCGCTAGCCTGGGGTCTTTAACGTGCATCACGCAATAGTGATACACGACCGCACGCCGGTACGATGCTCATCCAGATCGAAACGGGCAGGGGTGGGGCTCGAACCCATGATCCCTGGGTTCTGCAGCGCGAGCTTTCGCTCCACGTGCTCCGAGCTGGTGTGCGCTAGACCACTCGGCCACCGATCCCCCTGGTCTAATATTTAGATGCTCCACGAACAGTGTTGTCTGAGCGAGACTGGTTTAGATGTGGACAGGCGTTGTTCCTGTGCACATTTGGTTAATCCTAACTACATGACGCACTTCAACAAGCTTAGGTTAGCAGTCATACCACACTGATCAAACCTCTCGTCCAGACTGGAGACACGAGTCAGGACATTTTCAAGCAGACCGATGTCCCCACACTCCATGCATGTAGTTAGGAAGATTAAACCTTTTAACCACCCTGCGATATCAGAAATTTTCTTAGATTATCTTCTCGTCTACTCCTTTTTCATCTTCTTCTAGGCTTTAGCAGTAACACCGTTAATGTTTTTTTTATTAAGTTTCTGGGTTTTGCATTGTGCAGGTTGTAGTAGATTTCTTGTACGCTCCCGCATGGTGTCCCAAAACTTTTGCTACATTCCAGGGTCAAGGACAAGGTGGAGGTCATGAAGAAGGCTACCTCTGACATGTGGGCCAACGAGGATGCGCAGTACTCTGAGCACCTCAAGAAACGGTAAGGTCACATCTCTCCCTGCCTTGCTGCACAGCTGTTTCGTTAAAAACAAAAAAACTTTTTTTTTTTTTTTTTGCAAGAAACAAAAGTTAATTGTGTCAAAACATTACTAAAAGGACTTTATGCTGCTGACTTGTTTACTAAAAAAAAAAAAAAATGAAGCGGACCAAAGTTAGTAAATTAGCACAGAGGACTCTAAGAGTAGGTCGCTCCGGAAATCACTTAGGTTATTTCGCCCCACCCAACTGTCCATTCAAGGTTTCCTTAGACCGATGCATCTTTGGTGTTTCAGTGGTCGTGAAAGTTTTGTGGGTTCTATTCCTCTTATTTACGAACGTGCGCCACAAACAGCTTATCACTTCTCAAAACATTAAAGTTTTCTGTCCTTATTGCACATAATTGAAGAAAAGCTAGTTGGGGAAGCCACAAGTGCCGGCTCTGGAACAGTGACTTTCTTGCAGCCAAAACATAAAATTTGAGGTGCTGATTTTTACTAATTTTTTTCTCTTAGTTGTGGAATTTAACAATCTAGGCATGATCAAATGACTTGTCAAAGGCCTTTAGCAAAAGGTATCTTAGAATACCGCGCATCCACCCATTCCACATTAAGTGCCCATTACCAAATTTGTAAGATCTGAGAAAATACGCACAGTACATTTCTATGTAAAATTTATGACCGGACAAGCGCCCATCCCCCATTTTTTTGCGATTATATCTCTAAAGTTTGAGTGGGCGCTAGCCCGGTATTTTACAATAATGGTGTGCTGAGTTCTTGTTTTCAACGTGAACAGGTACGAAAAGCTGATGGGTGTTCCAAAATGGGCCGAACAGCAGGATGCTCAACAATCCTCAGGTAGTGCAATTGATTATTTTCTCGTTAGTCTCAGTGTACCAGTACGTACCGTGTGACACATATTGAGCAAAACCTGCTTTCCTTATCGCCCTGAATTATGGGATATGGGAGTGTGGGGTCGAATAGCTTGTTATGTTTTAAGTGAGTTGGCCTCTGTGTGTAATACGGTGTCACTTACAATGGTGTGCCTATGGTGTAGCAAACACAACAACCATCAGTCATGTTTCTGGTATGGTAGCGTAGGTAAGTGGGCAAAAAAGTCTGCTTATTTCACTGCGCTGCGTGGCTGGCATAAAATTACACCTGTGGTCACATCTAGTCCATGTCAGAGTTCATTGAAAAATAGCATTTGGATGCAAGATTGTTTGTTCGCTCAAATGTAACGAGAATAAACCCTTTTGCTCAATTACCCAGACACCGAGGACCATCCTGCGAATGTAGTTACACATTCTGCACATACTAGCATCCATAGCAGTAACTGTTCTAAATCAGCAATCACAAGAAGCACCCTGCATGTGCGTTTGTCAGTGCCTTCTTTTTTTTTCTTTCTTTTTTTTTTTTCTTTCTTTCGAATGATTTATACGGACAAGGCGAGCGCTGCAGCGCATGTGCTATACTGCGTCACAATGTTGGCGGAAACAGGACTTCGGCACTTTTTCACATTTTACTTTAAAGGGTGCTGGTGGGCATGAAAATTCACTGCTTAGTTTAGTACCCCCAACTTATCGCTTTCCACCACTATAGCAGTTTTGACGACGGTCCTTTGATAGTGAGAGAAAAGAAGAAAACCAGCGATGGCTTGTTTGTGCCAGCAGCATCGCAGAGTGTACCTACATTCCAAGCATCACTCCTGGTGCTCGGGTATTTCAGTGATGGGTGTGCTGAAGCTCTGGTTCCTGTTTCTCTTTGAACTCGCCAAACTTGTAATGAAACGTTTCATCATGTTATACACCAGCCTAAGCTTCCTGTAGTCTCTTTGTGATTTTGAAGCTGGGAGTCATTGCTCTTTGCCGACTTCCAGACGAGGAGGATGACGAAATGCTGCGCAAGGTCGGAAGCTACGTCGTGAAGGCTGCTCACCTGACGCCTGGCGTGCTTGGGATCCACAAGTGCCGGCCGCTCAATTCTGAAGCCAAGGAAAATGTAAATGGTCACCGCTCTCCTTTGCATGGGCGTCTAGACTTCGACGGTAGACGGCAGTTTGGGATCCTGAACCACGGTGTTTCATACATAGGTGGTATAGACAGCTAAGTTTGATCATAGTTGGTAGTGTGGCAGAACATCAATAGAACTTAGTCAAGGAACAAAAAGCAGGTGCAGAAACAAGCTAGTGCATATTTAACTTCATTATGAAGAACCCCATGTCTGGAGTGGAATAAGACTAAAGTAAAATAAGAAACAGCACAAACACTTGGTGTTTGTGCTCTTTATTTTACCTTGGGCTCGGGGTCCTTTGAGTTTATGAACATAGTTCTATTGTACAAGAGTTGTTACAGCAGTATATTTACTAGTGCACCAAATTATAACTATAGTCAGTGACAGGTTGAGAGTTCAGGGTGAGGGAAAGTAAGGCTCGAGAGGAGGAAGCAGATGAATCGCTGGAGAGGAGGAAACATCCCCATCGCTCCAGCATTCCGCCTGCTTCCTCCTCCCCAGCCTTCCTTTTCCTCGCCCTGAACTCTTCACCTGTCACCTACTATCGTCAACTTTATACAATAAAACCTCGTTAATACATATTTTAGCAGACCACAGAAAAGAAGCAACTCCTGTACAACAGTTAATTTTGTATGTATGAGATTAAAGGACAGATGATATTGTCTAACACTTGTACATAGCTTATTTTACACTGCAAGTCTCACTGTGGGTAGCCGCAACCATTTTTTACTGTCTGCACGACTGATTGGCAGGTTTGCTTATCCTCTCCAGTGCACTTGCATATCTGTCCTCTTTTTTTGGGGGTTTTGATCCAAGGTCCGCATCATGGCAGATGCGTGCGTTCTTGGAAGAGACATGACTTACTTCACATAAAGCAGAGTCCAAACTAAATCAACAGAACTGTACGGAAACCGAAGCGCATCCCGCGAGTTGCGCGGTCGGGACACGTACAGCAAAGCTCGCCGGTTGCATGCGCGTGATCCGACAAGAGTGCCACAATTTGTGGAGCAGAAGAGTACTTTCTCCCTAGCTTCCTTAGGATGGTGCAAAGGTCGTCAAACTACCACCTAATTCAACGTACAAAGCTGCATTTCTGCCTCCAGTCATGGAGGCCGCATTATTGCTGGCGGGGTCCAAGCTTCTTGAAAATCATACTATGATAAAAATAATTGTATTTTGAACATAAGAAGTAGAAAGACCCGAAAATTAGAATTAAAAAAAGGGTAAATTAGTTCTTTAGTTCTGTATGAATTCAAACGAGACCAAGGGTTGCAAACCTAAGGACCTGGAAAATGTGAAAGCTGGGAAGGTATCGACAAGGCTTTACTTACTCTATTTGACTTCACTGCATAGTTCCTGAAAATGTTTGTAGAATGAATTAAGAAACTAATATAGTAGGTAGTTGGTGCAATACAAAGGTAGTACGAGATTGCAATTCACTTTCTTGCCTACTGCGAACATGTATTAAAAAATGAAAGCCGTTTACAACTCCCTGTAACACCGAATTGGAGCGCAGCTCTTGAGGAGGAGGAGGGAAGGGTACTGAGGGTTACCTGTTCTCGGGGCGGGGAGGGGGGGGGGGTCATGTGACCTTGGGGGGTCACGTGACTGCCCAGAAAAATTTTTCCGCTAATTTCTTCCGCTAGATTTAGCCGGGAAATTCTTCTGCTAGGTTTAACGGGAAAATTTTTCCGCTAGACTTAGCGGGGAATTTTTTCCGCTAAATCTAGCGGGGAAATTTTTCCGCTAGATTTAGCGGGGAATTTTTCCCGCTAAATCTGGCGGGGAAATTTTTCCGCTAGATTTAGCAGGGAATTTTTCCCGCTAAATCTAGCGGGGAAAATTTTTCCGCTAGATTTAGCGGGGAAATTTTTTTGCTAAATCTAGTGGGGAAATTTTTCCACTAGATTTAGCGGGGAAATTTTTCCGCTAGATTTAGCGGGGAATTTTTTCCGCTAGATTTAGCGGGAAAATTTTTCCGCTAGATTTAGCGGGGAATTTTACCCATAATGCACCGCGCGGTTACGGTGACGCCGACGCCGCTCAAGCCGGAAACGGGCCCCTAAGAGCTGCGCTCTAAAACCAGTCAAGTGTACTCTCACACAAATGCTTGCGTTTTGGTAAGACAAGCTTGGCAAGTTGGAAAATGTAACCGGTATTGTCGGTACTCTTGAAAGAAGCACATACAATTTGCATGATATTTTTTTACAGCGGAGCTGTTAAGGCCTGGTTTCCCCAGTTTCGTGTCTGTCACCAAATAAATGTCGACACAAAACTCTGGACAGCTACCACCATCTATAAACAATAGCAGCAACCAGACAACCGGCTTGCCAGTTGTCTGGTTGCCGCCGTCGCTCATAGATGGCGGCAACCTTTCCAGCCTTTCCACTCTGGTTTTCACTAGAGTAGAAAGGCTGAGGTCATCCTAGGCGTCGTCCATGAGATCGTCCTCAAGGTCGTCCTTGAGGTTGTCCTCGAGGTCGTCCTTGAGGTTGTCATAGATGTCATCCTTGAGGTCGTCCTAGACGTCGTCCCTGAAGTCGTCCTAGGCGTCGTCCTTGAGGTTGTCCTAGGCGTCGTCCCTGAGGTAGTCCTACGCGTCGTCTTCGAGGTCGTCCTAGAAGTCATCTTTGAGGTCATCCTAGACGTCCTAGACGGTGTCCTCAAGCCGTCATCCTTGAGGTCGTCCCATTGTAGTGCAGCTATGCTGGTGTTCTTTTTTCACCATAGTGGAAAGGCTGGAGGTTCTTCTGTTGAACCCACCTTATTTCGTGTCTGACATGATGTTGCCTAAAAGCTTATGCGGTTTTGGCACATCTCTCTGCTTGGAGAACAATTGGATCATGGACGAAGGTAGGAATAAGCCAAGGAGTATGCCGTCAGTCTAACATTCCCAAAACTTAGTTTTGCAGACATCCCTGTCTGCTGTGTTTTTTGCATGTCCCTCCACTCTTATGGCTTCTGTCAAACTATTTCAGTACTAATGGATCACAGATTTCTACAAACAATGTTCCCAACTGTTTTTCAGACTATCCTCAAGAGCGTGGAGTTCCACCCAAGCTCCCAGGTGGCGCTTGCAGCTGGTCTTTCCGGAACGGCTACCATTTACCAGGTCAGTCCGATCCCTACTTGTATATTGGGAGTAGACTGTCCTTGGAAGTTCTGCTTTGTCTTTTTTCCCATGACATACGTTATATGCGGTCTACACTGTATCATAGAAGAATGGATAGTTTGGCGGAATGTTGGTGGGAATTCATTGTAGGAAACAGTGCAAAAAACAGACGATGACAAAGAAGAAGCACACGTAACGAGCCCAGCGCTCGTCACGTGGGTTTCTTCATCCTCGTCTGTTCTGCGCGCTGTTTCCTACGCTCTTATCAGTTTCGGTTTGGACTCAGGATGGGTCAGCTGCGTGCCCTTTTGGGGAAAAAAGACTGGCTGCGGAAGGAGCAGCAACGTACGCAGCAGCGCAAATGGGTTCGTAACCGCTGCAAAGCCGCTGTCGCCTCGACTTCCACTGCGTTGAGCGCTTCAGATTCCCTTGCCAAAGAAGAGCATATCGCTCGCCTGGAAAGCCGCCGCTGAGAACATAACCAGCAATGTAAAGGGCGCCGGCGGGCCAAAGCCACGGACGACGATCGCGTGGAAGCCAAGCGCAAGCCGGCTGAACAGTTCCCGGGCGTGACGGCGATGTTCCGGAGGGAGTTCGTGGATTACCCGTTTGACGTCACGTGCGCTGTGTGCGACTGACTCTGGGTCGCCGGAGACGTATCCACGATCGGCGGCGTGTCGGACGAGAAGAAGCGGAAAAACGGGCGCATATGCGTTGCGGCAGCGTATCGAGTACAGCTCTGCTGGTCTTCCTTCTTCACGAGAGTGGAAAGACTGATTGTGTTTCAGAAAAAAGTTTTGCCCCATCGCTTGTAGTTACACACCCGCTTTCAGTTCACTACACCCGAAGATTTACACTTTTGCATTTCATCCGTATCACTGCCCATATACTCCGCTCGCCCCTAAGCTGACAGTGCAGTGGGAGCTACGCGCTGGCCGGACCAATCAAACGCAGACCTTCTTGATAGCTGACCACACTCTCTGCAGCTTCCACCGCACTGTCAGCTTATGTGGGGTGAAATGAGTATAGTTTACTGCTGCCCATGAAATCAGCAAAGGCTCCCGATCTCATTTCCGGCCAGTTTTATTTTTTTTTTTTTATTGATACTATCTAAGTTTAGCTGAAAAAAAAAAAAAAAAAAAGAACTTGGGAGGAAATTATTGGCTGAAGGTCCTTCACTTCGAATCAAAACTAAATAAAACGAATAAATTCACTTGCGGTAAACGCCAACGTTTTTTTTTCTGTTTTCTTTTTCCATTCGACACCGAGCAGAAACGTTTCCCGCGGCTTGGTGGTTCGGTCGTCGGATGCTGCGAACATTTTATGGGAGAGCGAACGAACGGATGTGCCTATTTGGCCAGCCTCCTAACTTCGGTTACTTGGCTTTGGTGTTACACAGTCATGGGTAGTAATGCGTTATTGTAATTTTGTTACTTTTTAGAGCGCAGCTCTTAGGGGCCCGTTCCCGGCTTGAGCGGCGTCGCCGTCACCGTCAACGTAACCGCGCGGTGCATTATGGGAAATGTCCCATAATGCACCACGCGAGCCCCCCCGGGGTCACGTGACTGGGGGGGTCACGTGACTTCCACCCCGAGGTCACGTGACTCCCCTTAGGTCACGTGACCCCACCCTTCCCCTGAGGTCACGTGACCCCCCCCTTCCCCCGCCGAGGTCATGTGACTCGCTCCCCCCCGAAATCACGTGACCCCCCCCCCGATGATGTCATCGTCACTGATGACGTCACCGGCATCGTCATCATCACTGATGACGTCATCAGTGACGTCACTGATGACATCATCGTCACGTGACCCCCCAGGTCACGTGCCCCCCCCCCATCACATGACCCCCCAAGGTCACATGACCCTCCCCCCAGGTCACTTGACCCACCCCCCCAGTACCCTTCCCTCCTCCTCCTCACGAGCTGCGCTCTAATTCGGCGTTACAGGGAGTTGTAACGGCTTTCACTCTTTTTCATATAGATTAACCAATTAAAGAAGTGCATGTAAACTTTTTACCAAGGTATATTTAGATGGTACATTTATCATACTAAAGTTTCGCGAGTGTAGGTTGTAGAAAAAAATTTTAATCCTATAAAAATCTCGTTTTCTCCTATGCACAGGGAGGCGAACAGTAAAAATTGTCTGGTTGACTCCGCTACTCACAGACGGCACTATGTAAATAAAAAAAAAATGTGAGTTTCTTTGAGATGGACATCCAAAAGCAGATCCAGCAGACAGCAGCGTGAACCAGAAGGTGTTTTACGTTTTTTTTCCCCCTGCGCATAGGAGATAAACCTAATCTTTTAGGTCTACATTTTTTTTTCCTTCGAGACCATTTTTTTTAATGAATTTTGAGTATGATCAATGCACCATGTAAAGACACCATTGTGAAAAGTTTCAGTGCACTCCGTTCATTAGTTTAATTACACAGCTTTTCTTTGCGCCCAAACGGCGCTCAGAAACACCGTTTGCAATTAGTTCTGTCGAGCCATTTGGATTTGTATTTAGGGCTAACTGCTTTGTGTCGGAGGATCTTGACTAGGGCGCTGGATCTAGCCACTCGTATTAGTCATGTCACGCGGCAGGGTTGTTCCGACGTCGGTCTCGTGCTGCCCTCTGCAGGTGGATGGCAAAGTGAACCCCAAGATCCAAGCCGTCCACTTCGACCGGTTTCCGATCCACTGCGCCCACTTCTCGAGGGACGGGCGGGAGATGCTGGTTGGCTCCTCTCAGCGGGACCACATGTTCTGCTACGACATGATGGCCGGCAAGACCAGCCAGATCCGCTTCCCCAAAGGTAGTCTCCCCTTCTCCCGACTTATGAGAGTCTTTTAGACTGTCTACTGTCGGTGACAGGCTAAGAACGCTGCACCGTCCACAACTGTAATGCGCAGTTATCGGAACCATGCTCATATTATTTGGGTTCGTTTAGACCTAACGTCACCATATTTCTTCGCTGAGGGGCCGAATCGGGGGTCAGTCGCTTCCTCGAGGGCCGGAAAAGAAATAAGTAAATATGAATGAGGAAAGACTAAATAAATAATTCTAAATAAGCAGTTGTTAAGTACAAAATCGAAAGTTAGAGTAAAAAGTGAATAAAGAAGAATGTGCTGTGGATGAATAAAGCCTTTCAGCCTACTTTACTTTATTTTTAAATTTAGTATTTAGCTAAAACCTGTAACGTTACACAATACCGGGACCCAGAAAACCCACCAGGCATGAATGGGAGTGCATAGAAACTTTGGCATATGTTCATGCAGGGCAGAAGACTAATTAGAATGATGGAACTGATCCTGACAATATGCAATAGATCTGATACGGGACACTACGGTAAGCACAATATATTTGGGAACGCGCAGGAATTTTAATGTACAAAGTTACACAGGTATGAAAAAGGTCACTAATGGTGAATTCCACTCGTAGATCTGGAGCGCTTTCCAAAATCCACAAGGGAGGCGAAATTCCGCTCCGTGGGACCCGCTCCGAATCGACGAGGGGAAGATAAACTTGCATTTTTGGAGCGACCTCCCCACCCCTTCTCCCTCCGCCGTACAAAATGGCCGCTGCTCGAACTTGACCAGCCCACGAACGCCTCAGCGGGCTGATCTTTCCGACGACCAGTGACGACTGTCACTGCTTAGCTGCAGAAGTAACACGTGACACAGGCCGGGCGGAATTATACGTACCACGGCGCCCATGTCACAAATACCGAAGACGTCCGCGTTCGGCACCGTCACATACTTTTCGGCCGCCTTGAAGCGGTGGGGCACGGACAGCGATTGCCAGCGGTGGAGTTCAGATTTGTAGTACGACTTTAATAAACACAGAGGTAACAAACCATCACTTGCGCGGTCGTTGCCTAACCACTTCTTGCTTTATTTCACGGGAAAACGCCGACGGAATGCAGTGTAAAAAGGTAAACAATCACTGGGTGCACAATGAATAGGCCTAACCTTGCGTCTGCCTCCGGCTTTTCTGTCATTCTTTTTCTCGTTCTTCCTCTCACGATCACAGACGTCAGCGCTTACGATTTGCCACGCTCCACATTCCTGGCTTTTTATCCCTGATCTACGCGAGGTAGAAGCTTTCGAGCCATCACAATCCAGAGTAAACAACCGACGCACCCTGACAGATCCAACTCCACGACCCGACCGGCCCGTCAATCTCTCCAACCTCGCTGCGCATGCGCATCGCCGATTTGGACGGAAATTACGTGGGCCGCTCTGTCAACTTCCGGAGAGATCTGTGAAATCCCGCAGAGCAAGTTCGGCGGAGTTAGGGGCGCTCCGTGGAGCGGGCGCTGCCAGAGATCTACGAGTGGAAGATGACCAACTTGAGCCAGATCTGCGAGCGGAATATGCGCGCTCCAAATGGAGCGCTTTTGGAGCGCTCGAGATCTGCGAGCTGAATTCACCATAAGAATGGTGATACTGGTGAGGACAATGTCGTAATATGTTGAGGACACGCCTAAAGCGCGGGACACATGCATGAAAAATCCATCTGATCCGACAACCAATCCGGCAGCACGACTGACTGATCCGAAAAATTTGGTCGCTTCAGACGTCGGATCGACGATCAGGCATGTGTCCAACGTGCAAGATAGTTTCACACGGCGGACGGACTGTCGGAAGCGTCCAGCCAATGGCAGCACAGCTAGCGCGAACGTCATGATGACGTACTGGGTCTGGCGGGACGAAGAAGAAAACGGGACGGGTGACGAGAAGCCGGACCCATGAATCCCGCTGACTCATTCGAAAAAGATGGCCCCGGTCAAGAATGCACGCGCTAGCGAGAACGCTAGCGCGTGACGGTTCGCTCGTGCGAGCTGAACCGTCAATCTGGGACCCGAGATCTATGAACGCGGACCTCCGCTGGGGAGCTTAGATCCCCTGGGCGGAGCCGAACGGATCGTTGTGTCGCATGCAAGGTCGGAAGCGTGTGTCTTGAACTGTCGCATGCGGCAATTCGTAGCGGCGTTCAGACTGTCGGATCGGACGTCGGATCGGACAATCCTTAGTTTAGTGCCAAAGAGTGCCTATCCCACGATTGAACTCTATCGCTGTGTGTCCAGTAAAGAAAACTGACACGAGACAAGGTGCTTTTAGCAGGCTGCCACGCCCTGAATCGATCGTATCTCAAGAGGGAGGGGGGAAGGTTTGAGTTCCTTAGCAGAGGCAATTACATTGCACTTACTTTAGGCAATACCCCGATAGCTTCTTTCTTTATCTGTTCCCAGGACTGAACATGACCAACACCAAGCAGTTCTACGTGTCGCCCGACGGTGAACATCTCGCCGTGTGCGGAAGGTTCGGCGAAGTTCATCTTCTTTCCTGCAAGGTGAGGGAGGAGCGACGTCTGTCTTAACGGTCCCTGCAAATTTTTCTAGGCATGAACAAAAATTCACCAGTTCATTTGGAAGGCGCGCTGTGACGCACGAGCACCTCATGTTGACTCACACGTTTGTGGGCCCGAATTAGGTTTTTTTTGTACGTTGAAAACAAACGTACTAACCCGACACTGCGTCGAAGTGCCACTCTCGTAATCATGTCCAGTTGCATTGTGCCTTACACGCGTAATGTTATAACCGTAGACTGGCTGAAGCAGCACGTAAGCCATTTCAACGACTGTGTTCAGGTTTGCCGTGCATTTGCAAGTCCTCCAAGATTGTAGCATTGGCCCTTGCATTTTTTTTTTTTTTTGCATGAGAGGCTCAAAATGTTTGCTTACCTATGTGTCATAAGAGCCGTGGCCTCACAGCACTGTTTGCACCGCCTACCTTGCAGTCGAAGGAGTGCGTGGACACCCTGAAAATGAACAATGAGGTCAAGTCTGTGGCATTCAGCGAGGACGGTTCTGTCATCTACACTCTGGGTGAGATGCGCACCTTGTTTTAGGCACTGTTTTATCGATTGCCCAACATGTCGGTGCCAAGACAGAAAGCCTTGCTTGCTGTCTCGGCATTGATTACACTAGTACCCGGCTTCTGCAAAGAACTGCAAAGAAAAAAAAGTTTTTTTTTAAACAGCCTAATTGGGACAAGCATGTCACAAAACAAATGTTCCGCGAAAAAAATGATTTTTTTTATCAATATTTACGCCACAGGACGTAATTTAGTATACCGTAATATTCCGAGTCATCGCCCACCCCCCCAACCGCCTGAAATTCGTTAAAAAAGTGGGGTGGGCCATGTCTCGGTGGGTGAGCACAAACACTTAAAAAAAAAAAAAACGAAAAAAAAACGCCTATTTTTCTTTGCGTATCTAGCGCTGATGCACAAGAGATACATCAAACTCAAAACTCGATTTAGTTTCATTGTTTTATAGAAAAAAAAATGCTCACGAAAAAATATTTTACAATAGCGAAGTCCGTTGCTTGCATACGCGCTAGAAACACCGCCGATCTGCATATAGCACGAACGTTTGTTCCGTGAAAGAATGTCACCATTATGTTCTCCTAGTTAGTAAAAAAAAAAAAGAAAGAAAAGTCTACAAGAAAATAGAAAAACCGACCAGGCGCAACGAGCGAGCGAGCGAGCGAGCGGACCAAAGAAGCGACCAAGAGCAATGCTGGGAAAGCGGGAAAGCCAGCGGTCGCGTTGGCAAATACTTTGGCGTCGGGCCAAGTCGGGCGCCTTGTCAATTGCAAGCTCTTGCGCAACTTCTTGTTTGGTGCGTACAGGGATGGGCAGTATTTCAAATACAAGTATTTGAAATACGTATTTCAAATAATTTGTGTATTTTGCATTTGTATTTAATTACAAATTGGGTAATGTATTTGACGTGCGTATTTAAATACTAAAACGTGGGTATTTCAAATACAATTATAATTAAATACAATTTTGTGGGCGAAAATACATCCCTCAAATTTATTGTCACTGTCCAGAGCAGGAAGAAAACTACGTCCTGCACAGAATGCAATGTCTCTCAATCAAGCACAAGCGTTTGGTGACTCTGCGATTACGGTGCTAGTCCAGGGCAAGAATAGTGGCGAAATTGACGTTCACAGGCAGACTGGCTAAATAAGTGCCTGTGAGAACTTGTGATGCTTTCCAGTCTGATTTCCATCCATATTTTTGCCTGGAACATTCTAAATGCGCGGGTCGTCCAGATTTTTATAACTGGTGCGAGTTGCAACAATACAAAATTCTCTAGCTAGTGCAGCGCGTCTTGGTCGTCTCGGTTATTTGTTAATCTATACCAAAATGTAATCGACAAAAAAAAAAAAAGCTGCTTGAAGCTCTGTACTTTTTTCACCGACACACTTAAAATTTTAACACCCTTACTGGTGTAAATGGCTTGTCCTATGGGGAGCACCCTTATTCGTGTAACGGAACAGCCTAGGAAAGGGGCGTAACTCTTAGCACCTTAAGAAAGGGGTGTGATTTTCGGACACCCTAAAAAAGGGGTGTGACAATCCCACACCCTAAAATAATGGTGTGAGTTTTCTAACACTCTTAATCATGGGTGTGATTTCTAACACCCTAAGAAGGGGTGTGATTTATTAACATCCTAAAAAGGAGTGTTACTTTCTAACCCCCCCCCCCCCCCCCCCCCCCCCCCCCCCCCCCCCCCGGTAGTGTCTACCTTTCAGAAATTCCTGGGGAGAACCCTGCTTGCGACATTTATTCTTTCTAGCACTGGTGACGTTAGCAAAAATCGACAGGCTTGGAAAGACGGAGCGACCGGAAGTTACTTGCGACGCAACTGGCAGTTCATGTTTTTAAGCATGCTTGCGAAGTACTTACAAATAAGAGAGCGATCTCATGTAATCCGTAATAGATGCATAATCCGATTCGGGCAGCACAGAACAATTCGCAAACACAATGCCGGGGATGAAGGCGGTCGCTCACATTCAACGGAAGCCTCGCGGTCACCGATGAACAACTCTCGGTCGTGATAGCTGCACAATCCGATTCGGGCAGCACGAAACAACGCAAACACAATGTCGAGGATGAATGCGGTTGATCACATTCAACGGAAGTCTCGCGTCCGCCGATGAGCAGCTCTTTGTCGAAACGCGTCCAACAAACACAGCACGATAATTCCATAGACTCCGACGAAATAAATGGCCAATAGACGAAAACGTTCGCACCGATGTATTCCGGCCGTTCACGACGAAAAACCACGGTCGCGAAATGGAACTCGCCAGGACCTGCTTGCACGAAAAAGAGAACACTTGCGGACGCTTTTTGGAAACCGGATTTATGCTTTCTGGGGATAACTCGTTGATTGTCGTCTTGTTTATGCGTTTGAATTCCTTCTTTCCCTTTCCTTTTTTCTTCATGTGTTTGGAAGTGTATTTATTGGTTCAGTCAGGTGAGTTTGTGCTACCCAAAAAAAGGCGCCACTGTTTGTTTCAAGCTTCAGCGCAGTTAAAAGGAAAACGGATAGAAAGATTAAGCAAAGCGGAATTAGCTCGCTTTTTGCCCAAGAAAGACTTCTCGGGCTGAAAGCAAGCAGATTCCGTTTTGGCTAATCTTTTTTTATTTTTAACGTCGTATTTTAGGCGGCAAATAAATAGAAATACCTCTCCGGCATAGCCGATTCACGCAGGATACTCTCAACACTCAACTAAAAACGCGTCGCTTACGTTATGTCAGGATATCGTTGGCGCGACTCATCCCATTCGTTAAATATTGGCTAGACCAAAATGGTGTGGGCATAATATTTTCGAATAGATCCAATATCGGCGACATGCGGTGTGTTGCCTGGGCTGTATGTATATTTACACGTCTTCGGTCACTTTTTGCGAGCGGAGGTGATTTTTTAAATCGAAGTTGAACTGATAAAACTGATGCACGCGCGACACGTAATTTTCGGCTCCTCTCGGACGGAGAGTTCAATCGGAGTTGCAAAAAAACATTCTCTAGCACTTCCTAATCATACGCGCCTTTGTGTGGCGATTAATTATATTCGATGTTGGTACCGCCGTACATCAGCAACCGTTTCATCAAAGCAATAAACATGAACGGTTATAAAATCATGGGTATAATCGACAGTATCAACATTACTCCCAACTCACACCGTGTGAATGAAAAGTGTGTGGACGTCCGTTAACCACTTGACCGGGGACGGAAGCATAGAGCACTGCTCATCGTCATTTGCGCCGGGTTTTCGGGCAAAAACCGGTAGGAATAAATGGCCTCTCCTCCAGGCGTGAAGAAAAACGGCGTTGATGACAATGATATTGACCGAACAGAGGGGAAAGCGGATTTGTGTAAGGTTAATGTGACGCGCATTCTTGCACGTTCTCGTTGATGTCCTGAGGTTTTGACGGGACGCCGGACCGATGCATCGCTACATAATTCCAAGCAATTTGAGCTACGTCTTGGTGTTGCACAAAGTATAAAATCCACCGCTTAAAGCACATATTAGATAAAAATTCGAGCTTGCTAATGCAGGCGACGCTTTTTTTTTCCGACTCATTTCATAGCTAGCTCCTCGATTTGGGGCACATGCTCCTATACCGCGATGACGATCAATCGATGTCACGATGTCCTTACCGGTTCCGCTCGTAGACAAGGGTTTCTTCGACGTGATTAACTCCGACTCCTTGAAATCATATAAGTCCTTCACACTTTTTCTACACGTTATGAACGGGGGTGTTGCGACTAGTGCGTACACCCTTCTAACACGATTTCCTGAGCATATTTCAAATTGTGGGTGTGATAGGGGTGTATGTAGGGTGTAAGCCTTCTCGTACACCCCTGTTACACCCACGAATACTCAAAATCGTGTAAAAAGGGTGTAGGGAGGGTGTAGGAAGGGTGTTGGTTAAAAAAAAACGCCCTTTTAACACGATTTTGGGTGTTAAAATATTTACTGTGTACTACGTCCAAGCTGATTACATTTTTTTGTGGTGATTATATTTCTATTATGTTACTAGAGCCTCGCACACTAACTCCCGAGTGTGCAATGCAAAATTATAAAGAGATACCCAGAAACCCGTTGCAGGTGCCCTCAAGTCGCTGACGCAGATTTTGAGGAATGTATTTGGAAAAGTATTTGAAGGAGACCAAATACATTTGTTTTATTTGTATCTTGTATTTAAATATTTTTTTGGAAATCTAATTAGATTTGTAATTAAATACATTTTTGACGAAGTATTTTGTATTTGTATTTCGATACACATTTGCATGTATTTTGCCCATCCCTGGGTGCGTACATACGTGCGTCCGTGCACGGCGGGCTATTAATGCACGGTTGGGACGCTCTGCAAACGTCTGTGTAGGACGTTCCAGCAAAGCTTTATTTACGCTTTGGCTTTGCCTAAAATATTGCACAACAGCGGTCGCGACGGGCGGGAAGAAGGAGCGGGTTCGCGGTGACCTTACTTCGGCGGAGACAGACTTTGACCTAACACTCCGCGGTTACGTTAACAAACTCCTATTTTGTTATCTTTATCGTTTTCTTTTCGCACGGATACACGACCACTTTGGGGTCGCTCACGGAGGAAATGCGTAAACAAAAAGAAGTGTCTTTCCCTCCTTCGTTTTACTTTCTCACGGACGACCTCCAACTGTAAGGTCTGCGGCCACGTCATTCGGGTAGGATGAGTGTTCGAGGATCGCAGAGTCCGCGCTGGGGTATTTGAAGGGGTGGGCGATGACTCGGTGTTTTTTCGGAAATCGATATTGGCCCAAAAAATGGGGTGGGCGATGGCTCGGAGATGGGCGATGACTCGGGATATTACGGTAGTCAGAACCTCTCCACATTTGAAACTCCCGCTCTTTCGACCCCCGCGGAAGAGGACTACGCCCCGCCCCTCAACCTCCTTGTGTTGCGGAGTTGAACGACGCAGCGTCTCGACTTCCGGCAAGATCTGGCAACTATGCCAGGCCGCGGTATTGTTTTGGTTTGACGCGGTTTGCGAGCACATGTAGCGAAGACGTGACCGGAGAAGTGCCCCTGTGATGTTCCCGGAAGACGGAAAGTATTGTTTGTAATCGTCGTGTGCGCTTTAAAAGCGAAGGGAGTCACAGAATGCACGAGTGCGCAACCACAAGCCAAGGTTCACGACAGCGCTGCGTTGGTTTCGGCGATCTCGTTCTGTTTGGTGCAACACGGCGATGCGACAGAGCTGAAACGTTCGTGGTGTGTGTAATGCGGTGCTAACACGGAGCGCAAATTGGTTGTTGTGGGGTTGACGTTCAACCAGTTAAGTCCCGTCGTCGTCAGCTGATCCAGTCAAACTGGTCCGGGAGGACGCTGGGAGCGTTTTTAAAAGTAAATCTGCCTCGTTCTGTTTCAAAATGTGGAAGTTTCCCGACGCATACCGTGAGTAAAAAGCTGCGGGCGTTTTCAACAAAATTACGTCGTTTTAATTGAACAATGGACTCTGAATTGTTGTCCTAAATCTGCCGTTTTTATGCTTCGTGTTGGACTGCGTTTGCACAGCGACGTGTTGCATCGTGCGGTGTGAATAAATTTGGGCACGATTTCGTACCTGCCTACAGATGCATGAACCGAGACCATTTTTACGTAGTGGACATAGTGCTTTTTCATTTTCTGTCTAGTCACGGTCGTTAGGTGCACACGGGGCGAATCTCGACGGCCTCCAGAGCGATATGACGAGAACGTAACTAGACATGTTGGTCGCTACGCGAACGCCCGATTGCCTCCAGCCAAATAGCATTCCTTTCGGGGCGACATGGCTGCTGGAAGGCTCACTGTCGGGATCACACATCTGACATCTCCGAAAAGTCAGCATTTGCACGCGCAAACAAGCAAAACAAAACAAAGCAAAACAAAACAAAAAAAAGCATGCTAAGCAAGCAAAGAGGAAAACAAAAGAACTGCGCTATGAAAGCCAAAACCCCGCGTCGCTTCCTATCACTAACACCTGCGACAGCTGCTAAACACACACTACTTCACTTCAAGAAGTCTCACTCAAGCACCTGGGTCAGCACGAAACGACGAAACACTGATCACTTCGGCGAAACGATTAGTCGAGGTAGGCGAGACAGGCGGGAGCAGAGACTTCGGCGGCCATGAAAGAATGGCGAAGCTTTTGTTTGTATGAATCCAAACGGAAGTGCCCGTCTTGTAAACCTTTTGCAAAGAATAATAACTCTCAGCACATGGGTTATTCTTTAAACGTAAAAATATGCCGCTCAAAAGGAAATTGCAACATATGACAAAGGTTTAACAACCAAGACCTAAGCTGTCAATCAAACTCTTAGCCAATGAGAACCTTTTGGGATTGACGTCACATAATCACAACTTCGTGGCGCGCGATTTAAAACGGACAAATAGCCGCAAACTAAAATGAGTCTCACACAATAAATATTGCTGTAAAAAATGTTTTTTCTCGCGGAAAAATTGTTTTTTGACATGCTTGTCCCTATTTTTAAAAAAACTTTTTTTTCTTTGCAGTTACCCTTTAAACACAAACAGAATTGCTCCTTCTTGGAAAAAATGCATTGCAAATTGCTGGGCAATTGTGACTTCACTTCTGCATGCACCGACCACCGACCCCGAATAACTCGGTTGCCAAAGCTCTTCGCTCACAACCTCGGATGTGCTGAGTTCAAATCCAGCTGGGGGACTGAAGTCTTCTTATCTGGCTCCTTTTGGGTGTAATGCTTTACGGTGTCAGTCTTTCGTTACAGCCAGCTGTCTCTGCCAACATTAGAGAACTCCATGAAAATCGGCTCATGAAACGCACTCCGTGTTAAAAGAAACAATATGTGCGCCTTGTGCTGCGAAACAAAACAGATGCAGAGATTAGAGAAAGTCACTGCGAAAACCACTGTTTGCACATGTGCGCTCTGCAGCAAGAGTGCCGCTACACGGGGTCAAAGGTCAAGTCCAAATTCATCCGTTGACCCTCGAGGGGCCACAATACGGCGGGCTTAATGGATGCCACCAATGTTGAAAGTTGTATTTCAATAAATAAGTATGTACTGTAAGCAACCTAGTTTTCGAGAGGCCCCACCTTTAGCAAATTTTGCAACTTGAAAAATATTACGAAAAATTTGCCTCGCAGTAATATCACCCCATGATAACGAATACATAGCATATCACTCCACATTGAAAAATATTGTGCCTGCAAAGTAATCCCGGAACCCAGGTTCCCCGAAGTTTGTAAAATATTAAGCCCACAAAAATGAAGCCGTTTACAATATTCTCGATGTAACAAGCGAGAAGGCTCAGAAATTGCATTGCAGTAAACAATAAGTTAATTTCTTTCGTTTTATAGGAGTTCCAACAAGACTGGAAGCCGCAAACGTTACCAGAAATGCATTGTTGAGGTTCTCTCTTGTTTAAAGATTACAGTGTGGCTTTGTCAGATAGACATCCAATGTTATTCAATCAGTCGTGGCTTTGGTTTTTTATGAGTTGGGGCGCACTCTTAATTCCGTTCCCTTTGGCAACGTTCCTCTAATCTGTTGCCAGGTGGAAATGAGATCTGCATCTGGGACGTGAAGAGTCGGAAGTGCCAGCACCGCTTCAATGACCACGGCTGCGTGAGCGGTCTGTCCCTGGCTGCTTCGCCAAACGGACAGTACCTTGTGTCTGGGTATGTTCTCGCGTTGCCTAGCCAATCAATCGGTTGATCAATCAAGGTTTCATTTTACATCGGGCATCGTCGCAGGCAAAATGTCAAAATGCTTGTTGACGAGGCGCTAATAAAGTAGTGTGCACCGAAAGGGATTCCAAGATCGTTTGTTATGGAGCAAACTCAACCTGTGCACTCTAAGGATCCTAGAAGACCCGCAATTGCAGTCATGCGTGACTCTCCCCATTGAAAACGTGACAAAAGGTTGCGTTACGTCCTCTTTTCCAAAATGTATACCTCAGAAAAAGGGGTGTGTCGCGATGTTCGGTAGTGAAAGTTGGAACCGGAAGCGCGAAGGAGGTCTTTGAACAGCACTTGCACGACACGAACGCGCATGCGCAGCAGCTACGATCAAAGCACGAGGCTCACAAGCATAGCTTCGGCGTCGCTCGCAGATAAAGGCTGGTTTACGCACTTCCAACTGCCTAAGACCCTGTGCCTTAAATAACCCCTTGGTATCCCTTATGAGAGAACCAACTAGCGCCATCTATCGATTAGCCATGAAACCCTCGCAATTTCTCTACATTTCACACTTTTTTGGGTGTCATTCTTTCTTTCTTGGCTCGAAAAACGTTTGACAATGTTATAGACCACTGTTTCTCGCAGATGGATGTACATTCTATCTCGCATATACCGCAAAACCTTCGCTCTACTGAACTGCAGTTCCAGGGCCACCTCATGAATGGCACCAGCATGCTAGCATGTTCTCTCGTAAGAGATCACAAGGGCTCGGTCATAAGCAAAAGCTTTGCACGTGGTTGGGCCTTAGAACGAAACAGAGTCGTGGCCTTTAGATGTTGCTGGCCAGACGTTGCAGTGACCTTTCCAACCCGCTAAACTCTTGAACCTTTGAAACCCTCAGCTCGGACACCGGTGTCGTCAACGTGTACGAGACGTCGAAGCTGCTGGGAACTAGGTACCCGACGCCGGCAAAGGCCATCATGAACCTGACGACCGAAGTGACGCAGCTCAAGTTCAACTGCACCTCCGAGCTCCTCGCCATGAGCTCTTCCTTCAAGGCCAGCTCCGTCAAGCTGGTGAGTTTGGACTCCAAGGAAACTTCAAAACCGATCAAGTCAGTTTGGTTTCGGTTTAGCTTCCCTTTGTCCAAGCACCGCATACTTCATGGAAGCGCGGGCAGCGCATCTTGAAAGTGAGCGGATGGTGTCTTGAAAAGCTTGAGCCACTCGATGCAGAATTCATCGCGGTGTGAAGTTTAAGAAGAAAATCACTCCTTTGGAATTTTTTCCCAAAGGCTTCCTTGACCTTTTTTCATTTTATTTTGCGCCGTCCTTCCTTGCTACTCTGCGTGAGTATTGAAAATCGCGAGAAAGTTTATCTTGATGAAAACTCAAAATAGAACAAAATAAAGAGCTAGAAAGAGCCCACTTTAGTTCAACACTTCCAATGCTAACCATATGAAAGTAAATACTTAAAGCCTACTACATGATTTAGAATTCAGTAAAATCATGAGTCTTTCTTCCAATTTTTTTTGACGGGCTAACCACGTTCCTTTGACCTCTTTTGTTTACTTTTTTCATTTGTCGTAAATGATACGATTCCTGCAGTGTGGTAAGTAGCGTCTATCACTTAACTGAGTTTGAGAAAACATTTTCACTGTGCCATTTTTGACTTTATAAATTGCAAAATGAATAGACAACTGAATGAAACCTGTCTTTATTAATTAAGAAAAATCTGTAACTATGGGTAAAGCGGCATTGCTACAACAGTCACGGTATTCCCGACAGGTCCATTTCCCCAGCCTGACTGTGTTCTCAAACTTTCCCGGCAAGCACGACCTGAAGTACCCCAACTGCGTCGACCTATCGCCGCACAGCGGCTACTTCGCGTGCGGCGACAACCTGGGGACTGCGCACCTGTTCAGGTACGCTGCTACCCGGCCCGCACGGGACAGTGCCATTCTTTGGTCTCCGAGCCTGCGTTTCAAACTCCTCGTCTGTGGTTTGCAAGTGCTGCCACATTGTGGTTATGGTTCACACACTTGCGACTGGTTATGACCACGTGCGTTAAAACCTCTTAAATATATCTCTCACGACGATGGATGGATGAAACTGAACCCTTTGAATCGGGCGAGAACTTGCACCACCTAGACATACTGGCACCGTCTATTCGACGGCCGTGTAACTCTTGCAGTCTCTATATATTTCCTTCTTTTATTTTTTTTGCAAATCAATCCTTTTTTTTTTTGGCTTGAAAAGCTTCTAACAGTACCAATCGACCATATCTCGTAGCTGGTGCATACATTTGATCTAAAAAATACCGCAAAACCTTCGCTTTAGTGAAAGGCAATTCCAGGGTCACCTCATAGGTGGCACCACCTTGCCAGCGCAACCTCGTCGTAAGAGATTGCAAAAAAAAAAAAAAAAACTCGGTCGTGAGCAAATGCAAGCATGTAAACAGGCCTTAAGCATGAAACGTCATGAGGACGTATAAAAATTGTACTAAATGAAATTCAGACCCTTCATATTCGTGAGATTTCTCGCCGATAATCCTCGTTTTCAGCATTCGTACAAAGCGACTCGCCGAAATGCGCTGAATTTCGAAAAATATATAAGCATCGAAAACATCTGCCGATTAACACCGGAAAATCTGAGTGTGTGCCTGAAATGTCACTGAGGTCTTTTAAAATTTTTGTAATTGTCTTATAGGTCTTTTTACTAGGCTTTTGTTTGGTAATCACAATTTAAAAGGTGACCATTCCTCATATAACGTCTATTCGTTGAAGGGTATTATGAGGTGAAATAAGTGGGAATAATAACATAATTAGGAATTAAGATATTGCTGTAACTATAAAGATAATATTTTTTTCTTTCTGATTTCAGGTTGAAGCATTTCACCAATTTCTGAGATGCCTGCTGTGTCGGGGCAAGGTTTCCATTAATTAACTGAGAGTCCCTGCTGTGTAATAAATATATATATATAAAATATAGGTTTGTACTTTCTAGTTTCATCTTTCTTTTTCTTTGAACCGCAAAGGTGCAAGCCTCCTCTCAGTGAAAGTGTAGGCAATTTCATAAAAGATACTGTAACTGCTGCCACCTTCAGTATTTGCACATTTCAAGTGTACACGGTTTTCCTAGATCGGTGGTTCTCAAGCATGGATATGTCAGGGGAACCTTGGTCACCCACCAAAGTATTGGGGTACCCCATGTCAGCATTGAGGGGGATGTGTTTGGGAGGGGGCGAGGGGATATAAAATAAGACCATTGCAGTGTGAAAAGAGTATCCTTTACTGTTCTATACAAATGTGGAATTAGGCTTAAAAGAAATAAGAAACAAGGTGTGCCTCTGTCTGCTCCCACTTCTGCTACTGTTATAGACAGGAAAAGTGAGAAGCATCGGGTACGAGGATGAATGGGTGGTTAGATGGTAACGGCTCTACCCTATGTAAAGCTCTTTTCATAGCAAATGCCACCAGGCGGTGCTTCAGTCTGATGTCTTAGAAAAATTCTGGTTCACAAAAAGAATGGACAAAGCCCACTTCAACACCGCTGCTGAAAATGTTGATGAAACATATAACCACCGATTGTCCAGGTGAGCGCCAAAAGAACAAAAAAGTGCAAGATCCAATCAAACTTCTTGAATATTCTTCTAAACCAACTTGTCTCCTCCAAGACGTCAAATCGTACAGCCAAAGGCCCTCGTTGAGGGAGATTCACCTGCTCCTCACCCAATGCCCAAATTTCGCTACACAAACCTGCGTTTCAGGAACGCACCAGACCCCAGAGTATTGATAATTTTTTAGGTTCATTATCAAGATGTAATGAAGGTCGTACGGCCCTTAGATTTTCCCTTGAGAGCGCTGGAGTTTTTTTTTAATGAAATTCAGAATTTTAATGAAATTCAGAAATATGACCATTTTGACTTTTTTTTAGCGCATTTTGAGGCAATTTTGAAATATAACATCACTTAGGTGACAAAAGTGACAAAATGAATGGCAGTACATTCGAGAGGTGTCTCCTATCTTAATTTTAAGACCCTTACGAGGAGCCTAAATGTATTGGTGTTAGCATGTTTGTGTAAATAAATTTGACGGGGCCGTTTTCGCTAGAGTTATTTTCAATCGGTTCAACGAGATGGCGAAACCAGTATCAAATGCCCCAAGCCAGAGCATTTGTTGTTTTCACGCGCTTCCATGCATGTACAATGTGCTTAACTGTTAAATATAACGCGGGAGCTGTGGCCGAAACTGATTTCAGAGCTGTCTAGCGATTAAATCAATGATGCGGCAGAGAGTAATGTGGCTCTTCTTGCGATTGTTGCCACTCCCCGATACCATTATCGCACGACCTCCTTGTTTCTTTCTTTATCACCCACGCTTTAAATTTTTACTAGTTTGTTTTATTGTTTTTGACTGTTTATCACACCTACGCATAGCGACCCCGGAAGTGTATTTTACATGGGGGGGGGCTGGGGGGGCTGGGCTGGGCTGGGCTGGGCTGGCTGGCGGTCGGTCGGTCGGTCGAAATAAAGGGGGAGGGGGGGGGGGGGGGGGAGAGATTAAATTTGAAAAATCAATTACGAATATTTTACTGTTTATAGAAGGTTTATTTTCACTAACTATACCGTGTGTTCACACATTCATTCAATATTCCTGTCGCGAAGCAATGGGATGTTGGCGCATTCAATCCACGGTGTCGATGTAAAATGCACTGGAAGATTAGGCGCCTGCACGTAGAAAGTCCACATTTTCAATGAAGGTGTATTTGAATCGTGGACGCATTCCTATAAAAGTTCTCGTTGCAGCTTTGTTCCTATGAAAAGTTATAGCAATGCATTCTTGAAAATTTCAGAAAAGTTTACCACCGGTGGACGTGGTCGTCTCTCGGTGGTAAACCTTTACTGGCGATACCCTTTTTTTATTTCAGCATGTTTCTTGTTTTTATGATCGTCTTTGAAAAGTGGGTAAAACAGACTGAATGAGCACCAAATGGTGTTTCGAAAATCAGACACAAAAATACAGGCGAGAATGTCTCCCCTGAGAACCTATGTCGCCTGCCAAGGCCTCCTCTTGCTTTGGGAGTTGGGATACTTTATTCCCGCAACTTGCTCCATCTGTAGGCAGTCCCTCGTTCAAGAAGGACTTTCTTCTCGTACAGACCGTCTCCCCGCCTCGCGTTCGGCCGACTCTCGTGGTTGCTCAGAATGCCAAAACAACAAGAACAACAACAGAAAAGCGCAGCTGCAAGAAAAAAAGCTAGAGGAATCATTGTGTTCTTTGGGGAAACGGCACTGCTCAAAATAGAAGCAAAACGAAGAAGCCGGCTGACTGGTTGGACAAAAACAGTGCGCTGCGCGATCCCCCGCATTGCCAACCAACCGTGCATTGAACCTTGAACATGAAATCGCTGTATTCATGGCCCTAGGAACCCTTTGAATGCCAGAAATCCTCGCTGGGTAAATTGTTCTAACCATTTCTAGATTCAAATAAACTTATTTTAGTAAAAGCTGGTAAAAAACTTGTGCTGTGAAAAAGCAACTAACTTTGCCCGGTGGAAGGCTCGCTTTGCACATGACCACACACTGTGGAGGAGAGACTATTTTCAATCCAAAGTTCAAGCAAAATACGTCTTCTTTTTTTTTTTTTTTAATTTTAGGGTTATAGTTTTGTTGCAACTCAAGAATGTAGGGCGAGAGAAAGGAAGGCCGGGGAGGAAAAAGCATACGAAACGTTGGAGAGATTTTCCTCTCTCTTCTCCAGAGTTCCGTCTGCTTTCTCCTCCCCCCGGCCTCAGAGCCTGCCCGGCCTTCCTTTCCCTCGCCCTACCTTCCATTCGGCGAACTGATAATTATTGCATATTATATAGAACGTAAACAGCTAGAACAATATCAATTGCAGTTAATCTAATCGCAGTTAAAGTCATCGTGTAATTAATCTCGCTCCTTACAACGCTGATTGGCTCAGCCGCTCCGCGACTATAGACCATTCCATTTAGCGCTCTCAGTGCGGCGCCATTAGGGAGTTTTAGTAGACCGTGTTTCCCCCTCCGCTAACCCTCGGCTACGAAGAAACCGCCGCTGGGCCTGCGCGCCCTTGGGTGTAGAGTTCCGGGTAGCGGAGGGGCGTAGCGGATGGGGAAACACAGTCTACTAAAACTCCCTATTTTGTTCGATCGCTGCGGCCTCTCCATACATCTGGGAAATTCTGCGGGTTCGGCGGCCCGACTCCGCTAGCAGACGACAAACAGGGAGGTTGCCATCCTCCATCTTTGGGCTGTACCGGCGGGCTGTACCGAACTTCGAACTCTCGTCGTGGCTGCCGTTGTGAAGCAGTTTGCGTTCAGATTATTTATGGCTACTCCAAATTCAGCCGATAGCGATCTGTTGTTCTATTTCGGTAAATGATTAACTAGCGTATCTTTGTTCCGTTACTTAAATAGCAGTGGAGTCAGCCGGCAGTACTACTCCCAACTATTGCGTGTATTGCGGCAGGAGAGCACGTTTTTATTTATTATTTCAGGCTTCCACTCATGGTCGCTAAAGGCATACACCAGTACAAACTTTGTATAGTAAAAAAGGTAAAGTAAACCGGATTTACTTTTCGCTGGAGAGACCGGCCAATCTTACACAGTTTTCCCTTTTTTTTTTTTTTTTGCACGCAGGTAACAGGGCAATTGGACCCGGTTAGTCTTTTTATCGAGCATAGTATTATTACACGATAGCTTGCATATCAAAATCCGCTCATCTGCGCTTGAAATTTCCAAAATGACGCGTTTGCACGCCAGCCGGAAGTAAGGTACAGCCCACTCGGCGGAGCAGAGAGCAGACGACGTGCGGGGTGAGAAGGGAAGGGGAATTTTTTTTCTCTCCGCTCTTTCAAAAAGTCGGTAGGTTGAGGGAAAGGAAGGCCGCGGTGAGGAGGAACCAACGAAACGCTGGAGAGGGGTGGAGGTTTCCCCCTGTCCTCACGTTCCGTCTGCTTCCTCCTCCCGAGCCTTCCTTTCCCCCGCCCCACCACAGGGCGCCGCCATCTTGCTCACGGGGGTGCGCTTGGGCGCGCGTCATAATCCGATTAAGACTAGGGATGCCGCGAACTTTTTTCGAATCGAAGTTTCGATGATCGAATCAAGCGGTTCGAAAGGTTCGAAAGATTTCGATTTTTCGAATTGTCTATATCGTAAAATTCGACGGAGGTCGAATTTTCGAACTTGTTAAGCTAAGAAGTTCGACGCTTTTCGAACCGTCGAACTTATTACGCTAAAAAATTCGATCTTTTTCGAACTTTCGAACTTATTGCGCTGCAAGGTTCGATGCTTGTCGAACTTTCGAACTTGACTGACCAAAAAATTCGATGAGTTTCGAACTTTCGAACTTATTTATCAAGAGAATTCGAAAAGTTTCGAACTTTCGAATTCTGAAAAGTCAGAAGTTCGACGAGGTTCGAACTTTTAGGGTAAAAGTTCGACGTTCGTCGAACTTCGAAAGACCGGCGGACGGTTTCATGTGATTTCAAGTAGTGGGGTACATTCGTAATTTTTTTTCTCGAACTTTTACACGCGGTGCTGCGTTCCTTACGAAAGACAATGTCGTTTATTTCAATGTTCTGGCATGCTTAGGTTTACAGAAATAAATCCCCGAAGGGGCGAGGAAGGACGACGGGTTTTTGACGATTATCGTTTGTGCCAGATTTGAAGCACGCTGCAGCCGGAGCTATTTATGGTAGATATGTTATACTTTTTTTAAGAATGATCTATGTATAGCCTAGGTAAGTGCCGTCTTAAGATGTGATTATTGTTATTCAACGTGAGTTTCGAAGAAATGTCCAAACATGTATCTGCATGCAATTATGACCTAAACTTGATATTTATTTTCGTCTAAGTTGTTTGAGGTATCGCATTTAAATTAACACCACAGACAGTACATATCGTTGCCGTCTGCAGAATACAAAATAATATATTTATTGTTTTTTCATGTTAAGGAATAAA